ACCTGGAGGGGCTGGGCGGCGAGGAGGAGAAGTGGGGGCGAGGCAGAGAGCAGGGGAAGGGCCAGGGCTGCTACGGGGTGGGTGGGGGGTGTTGGACCCCTGAGGGTGTGAGAGAGCGAGAGAGCCCGCGAGCCGAGGAGGAGGCTGGGAGACAGGTGTGCAGGCTGTGTCTGCCTGCCTGTGGGCAGGTTGGGAGGTGCTGGGAGCCATGGTGTGTGAGTGCAGGCACCAGGGTGGGGGAGACCCCCGGTTCCAACCTGCGCCTGGTTCCCAGGTGGAGCGTCAGCTCGGAGACAGTCCTCAGGCGGGTCCAAGGTCACAGTGAAGACGGCCGGGGCCCGTAGGGATGACCAGGCCGCAGGGGGATGCTCCGGTCACCTGGGTGTTCAGGTTCAAGTGGGCACTGGTTTTAGAGGACTTGCCCCTGGGGGCTGACCCCCGGGGCAGGTCCTGGGCTCCTTTTCCAGGTGAGCAGCTCCGTGACTGGGTAGCCAGGTGCTGGGGGGCTGCCCGGTTGGGCCTCAGTTTACCTGGGGAATCATCATGGCTGGAGTAGAGGGAAGGTGGGTATGGAGTGTGACTGGGTGGGGTCCCGGGTGACCTGTCCCCTGTTCTAGTCACCCCCCTTGACCTGCCTCCCCTAGCCCTCTGGCCGCACCCCTGTCTGGCCCTCAGCCCCTGTCCTCCCTGACCTCCGCGGGCGCCTGCTTTCCCCGCCCATGCTCCTGGCCAGCTGAGGCCTTGCTCTCTGGAAAAGCGTGTCTGCCTGGCCCGTGTACAGACCTTGGCTCCTGAACCCCTGGGCTGGGTGACCTGGGCCCCTGGCCCCCCACCCGATGGTGCCCATCCTGAGGAGATGACCGCCGAGCGCTCCATTGCAGGGGCCCTTGGAGACTGGGAGCTGGCGGTGCCGGCCTCGTGGGAGGGGGTGCAGCGCTGCTTCTCCCAGGGGGATGGGTGTCCCGTGTGTCCCATGTTCTGTGTGTTCCAGACGTCGCATTGCGGCTGGGAGCCAGGGCGATGGTGTCTCAGGGGAAGGCTGCCCGCAGGGAATGAGCCCCCGCCGCCTGCGGGCACGGTAACAGCTCAGAGCCGTTTAAATATTGACGCTGCAGAAACGCACTGTTTCAAACCTGCTGGCCGCCCGGCTGCCACCAGGGCCTTTGCAAACAGACCGGCATGAGCACCTGCCCAAATGCAGCACACGGTGTGTCACAGGACAGACCCGGCTGGTCACTCGGACCCGGCCCAGGCCCAGCCGCCCCACCTGGCGGGTGGCACGAGGTCCAGGCACCACAGAAGCTCACCCGCCCTGGCTCCCAGCTCCGAGACGGCACCCGGGAGGAGGGGCTAGGCTGTCAAAGGTCACAGTGAGGGTGACAGGGCCACCTGGAGACCATTAGGCCACGGGCTGTTCAGGGCCAGGGTGGGCCCTGTCCTTGGAGGACTGTCCACTCCCGTGTGCCCAGGGCCGGGAGCTGTTCCGTTCTCCGCTGGTGGCGTGGTCTCCCGGGGGAGTGAGGTGCGGTGTGTGCACCCACTGGGCAGGGGCGTGTGAGACCGACTGGGCTCCGTCCAGCTTGTTGATGACCCAACCCCCAAGATAACAGGCCTTTCAGAGGGAGAGGCGGCAGCCGTCCTTCCGGGACGAAGAGCAGGGACTCGGGAAGCCGTGCGGGCAGAAGCCCAGGGTCCGGTGGCCGGGCGCCGGGCGTTTATGGGAAAGGGAAGGGGAGCCTTTGCATCCACAGGAGGAAGGCGTGGCTGTGGTGCGGATCACCGAGCAGTGCCGCTGAGTCTACACCAGCGGTTCTCAACCTGTGGGCCGCGACCCCTTTGGGGGCCGAATGACCCTTTCACAGGGGTCGCCTAAGGCCATCGGAAAACACATAGATAATTACATATTGTTTCTGTGATTAATCACCATCTTTAATGATGGTCAATGTGTAACAATGGAATTGGGGTCACCACCACATGAGGAACGGTATTATGGGGTCGCGGCATCAGGAAGGTTGAGAACCGCTGGTCTAAACCGTGTTTCTAGTTTTCAGTCTGTAGGCCTCCTCTCCCCTGTTATCCTTGCTCACAGCCTCTTGGGGACACTGTTGCTTTAGGCCCCAGCAAAGGCTGCTTGGCCTGTTAGAACATCCACGTGGAGGAATGAGACTGCAGCTCCGGCTCCATTTTATTTTGTTGTTTTATTTGTTTAAAAAAACATTTTTATTGACTTCAGAGAGGAAGGAAGAGGGAGAGAGAGAGAGGAATGCCAGTGCTGAGAGAGAGTCATGGATCGGCCGCCTCCTGCACGCCCCCTCCTGGGGATCGAGCCCGAAACCTGGGCCTGTGCCCTGCCCGGGAATCGAACTGTGACCTCCAGGTTCACGGGTCGATGCTCAGCCACTGAGCCACCCGGTTGGGCTGTGGCTCCATTTTCTAGTGGCTCTGTCCATATGGTTCACACGCACTCACTCTTGTCCTTGGGGATGTCATCTGAGTGCCGGGGCTTATAGATTCGCGTCCCGCCGTCTGTCGCGAACGCAGGCGGAAGTCACTGCAAATGCAGCAGGTCTGTCTGTCCATGCCCTGGGGGTCATGTGCCTGAGGCTGCCCCAGTCACCTGAGGCTGCAGGCTGCCAGGGCCGCTCCCACCCACCTGCATTCATGCCCAGGGGGACCTGCCTCCCTGCTGTCCTGCAGTCACCCGTCAGGTGTCCTGCCCTCCCAGGAGCCTGTGACCGTGGCCTGTGGCCTGCGGGCCACGGTGCTTTGTCCTGTAATCGCGAGCTAGGCAGCCCTTCTGGTCAGTCCAGGAGCAGCGGCCCTGGAACCTTCTGGAAAAGCCCGAGTTTCTCGGACACAGGAGCCGTCCACGTCTGCAGGGACGGGACAGGGTTCGGAACGGCTCCCAGGACCCGCGGGCGCAGAGGCCCGGCCGTGGCCCCTCCCGAGCTGCCCGTGGAGGGGGTTGGGGAGCGCTGGCCAAGCGGGGCCCCTGCCCACGCTCTGTCCTCTCCCCTCCAGCTCGCCGCCAACGCCCTGCTCTTCCTGGGCGTGAACATGTATGGGGTGTGCGTGAGGGTCCTGGCGGAGCGCGCCCAGCGCAGGGCTTTCCTGCGGGCGCGCACCTGCATCGAGGACCGGCTGCGGCTGGAGGACGAGAACGAGAAGCAGGTGGGTGGCCGTCCCTGCGCGGCGCCCTCTCCGGTGGGTCCAGCCTCCCCCCTTCCCCGGCTCGCTGGGTTAGCACCTCCCTAGAGATCCAGGAGCCAGAAAACCGGGGATGGAGGTGCAGCCTGCAGGTCAGTCCGGGACAGCTGTCTCCCTGGGTGGCCTGGTCCCGTGTCCCCCGCACGCAGGTCCCCGCCCTGCCTCGCTGGCCGGACTGCTTTCAGCACAGGGAGCCCTGTTCTGGGCTCCCGGGCACCGGCAGGCTCAGGTTTGGCTCCTGGTTGCCCAGCTGGCCCAGCGCAGCCCGGCGTGTCGGGGTGGCCCCGGCCACATGGGTGTCACGGTCTCTGCTTTCATGTTTCAACTCATGAAGAGAGCAGTTCAGCTCAGGAGCCCCTGTGCAGCCTCCTGCAGCCCTGACCCAGGGAGGTGCACCCCAGTTCTGGGAGATGGGCGGGTGCGGGGCCAGCTCTGGGGGATGGCTGTGGGCAGGGTGCCCGCGGTGCCGGCAGCAGGAGATGCCGTGCGGCCGGGAGGGGCTCTTTTCTCTCCTGCACTGGCCGGGCCTCCCGGAGACCCGTGTGGACCAGGCGCGGCGGGCTCAGCGCCGGCCGGAGTGCACTGCTGCGGGGGGCGGGGGGCTCTCTCGGGACGCTCCACACCCGGATGGGGAAGGTCCCCTGCCTCCCGAGTCCCCGAGACTTTTCATCACGAATGGGTGATGAATTTTGCCATTTCCCCCCTGATCGTTGCCATGATTGTTGTTGTTGCCCGCATGGCATCGAGTGATGTCTCAGGGTTGAACTGCACTGTGTCCCTGGTGGACGCCCCGAGCCAGGCTCTGAGGTGTTGGCTGAAATGCTGGTAACGGGGCAGAGGTTTCCCATCGTGTTCTTGGGGGCCCCTGGGCCGCGGTTTCCTCGTCTGGTCTTGCCTGGTGCTGTGAGGGCCTGGGTGGCTCCCTCAGCCTCCGTGGCAGGTCGGAGGGGTTAGTGCTCGTCCTTTGTCAGGTGCCTGGTTACCGGCCAGTGAAACCACCGGCTCTGGGGCTTCTTCCTGTGAGTTTTTAGATGAAGAAACCGGCCTCTTCCATGAACACAGAGCTATTCGAGTCTGTCAGTCACAGCACTGACTACATTCCCGGAAGTTGTAACTTCTGCTTTTCGGGGACCCGTGTGTTTCTCCCCAACTGTCAGACTTGTGTGTGGAGAGTGTGTCCCAGTCCCTTGGGTCGGGAGTGACATATCTCATTGGTTTTGCTGGAGGTTGGTGAGTTGTTTCATTGAGGGGCTGCTGGAGGGGCAGTGAGATGGGGGTTCTCTACCCCCCGCCCCCCGCCTCCCTAACTCCACGTGGGATCTCAACTCTGCTCCTTGGTTTTCTCCCCGAACCTGAGAGAGGAGCCTCAGACCGTGAGCCTGGAGGTCAGGGCCACGGCAGGAGGTCGGGGAGGACCCTGGGAGGGGAGGGCAGGGCTGGGTGAGGAGGGGGAGGCCCAGGAGGGGGGCGGAGCCCCCAGAGCCTGATGTTCCTCCTGCCCTGGGGTGGGGGGAGTGGAGACCAGGGGAAACCAGAAGAGGGACCAGGAGGAAACGCCCTGCTGCCTCCAAAGCCCTCACCTTGCGAGGACAGGGCCCCGTCTGCCCAGGGCAGGGCCTCTCCCAGGACAGCTCCGTGGCCTCTCGGTGTGGCAGGGGGTGAGGAGCAGGGCTGGGGGCGGGTTCCTTCCCGTGACCACCTCCTGGAGAAGCCGAG